ATATATATATATATATATATATATATATGTAAAGTAGTATGAAAGCAATCATTTAAACTAATATATGTATAAATAAATGTGTGAATTTTGTGCCCTGTGCTGAGGTTTAATGTTTTTTGATGTGTGTTCAGCTCAGCAGAGGCCGATGTTGAACTTCCTCCACCAAGCATGCAGAAGCTCTCCTCTGACCTTCGACCTCTCATGTTCTGGATGTCCAATGCCACGGAGCTCCTCAACTTTTTTCAGGTCAAAGTTGAAGCCATGGAAAAAGAATGGGAATTTGAAGGTTAGTGAGAGATCTGCAATTACAGCATGTTTTCTCAAAACAAAAAATGTGCCGTATGCCGTATCTTCTGCTGTAGACGTGTTATGTCTTTTGTTAGACTAAATCAGTTTTCTCTCATTATGCCATCTAGTGAGAGATCGGCAATTACAGCATGTTTTCTCAAAACAAAAAATTCTTGTGCTGTTGCATAACGTGCCGTATCTTCTGCTGTAGACGTGTTATGTCTTTTGTTAGACTAAATCAGTTTTCTCTCACCTCTTATTATGCCATCTTGTTTATTTTAGTATACCTGCTAGTCTAAGCAAAAATTTTGCACTGTTAAATAAGCCTCAACTTTGAATAGAATTACAATATTCAACCTATACTGACTCATGGCTCATACAACTCAAATACAAGCAGTTCATGAGATAAACATAGTCAAAATCTTTGTCAAATGTCAAAATGTACTTGTCACATGATATTATATTGTACATTGTCAATCAACTGTTATTCTGAAACTGAGTGCAATTATTATAAATTACGAATGTTAATAATTACCAGGTCATTTGGGATGGTTTATGTTCTGTCTCTTTATGGTTTGTCACATCATAACCTGTAGCCCCGGGTGACCCCGTTCTCTCAGCTGATATGGACACCTGTTCTGAGGCGCTGGCACAGCTGGATGATGTCATTATGCACACCTTTCAGCAGTGTGTTTACCATCTGACCAAGGTGAGAGTGCATCAGTGTGCATTAGGGGTACTTGAATGACACATGTATGCTTAAAGCATTTAATTTATTTCAAACTCATTTTCCTCTCTCGATCAGACGTTATACTCCTTGCTCCCAGCACTGTTAGACACTAACCCGTTCTCCAGTGAGGAGAAGAAGAAAGGAAAAGCGGGAGCAAAGGACAGAGCTGGTAATGAAGGGCAAGGAGATGAGGAAGAAGACGTCTCCACTTTGCCGCCCACCGTCGCTGGACTGGTGGAAGTGTATCGCTGCTCTCTGCAGCTCTCCAGAGAAGCTTGCCTCTCTCCACCGCTAACCTCCCAAACATTTGGCTACCTCTTCTTCTTCACAAACACGTCTCTTCTCAACACACTCTTGGAGAGAGGTGAGAATTTACAGTCTTTCATAAACACAGTTGTGTTTGCGCATGGTTTCGGGCAGCGATGACAGCAGGATATGATGGCAATGAGTTTATGGCTGGACGACCAGCACAAATGCAAGTCTGAGGTTTAAAATGATTTGTTTCTTCAATCTTTTAAAGATAGTCTATTCTCTTGGTCACGTGCGGTTCAAATTCGAACAAATCTGGACCTGGTTTTAGACTGGCTACAAGGAGCAGGCCTTGGAGATATTGCATCAGAGTTTCTAAAGAAGCTATCAGTTACGGTCAACTTCCTGTGCATACCTAAGACCCGCCTTATTCAGGTGAGAGTTTGATAACAAACTGACCCCATGCACTGAATATGTAAAGAACGCAATGCTTTTCACATCTATAATTTATCACTGTGTTTTTTTTTTCAGTCATCCTGGTCAAGTTTACAGGAAGAACATCCCTTGCTAAGTCCTTCCCAGCTTCACCATCTTCTCACTCATTATAAGCTTGGACCAACGAGAGCCCCACCATCTTCATGGGCTCCGCTTCTCGGTACCGAACTTGGAGGTGGTGAGTAACAACCTAAATAAATCAACATATTCTTATATAATATTGATAATATGCCTGTCAAACTATTTTATACCTACTTATATAATATACACTACTGTTTAGAAGTTTTGGAGCCAGTAAGTTTCATCTTTTTATTATTTAAAGAATCTACAAAAATTCTAGGCCTAAGCAGCACAACTGTTTTCAACATTGATAATAATAAGAAATGTTTCTTGAGCAGCAAATCAGCATATTAGAATGATTTCTGAAGGATAATGCGACACTGAAGACTGAAGTAATGATGCTGAAAATTCAGCTTCACCGTCACCGTCACACGGACAAATTACATTTTAAAATATATTAAAATAGAAAATTAAATTGTAATCAAATATATTTATGGTATTTTTAATCAAATACATACAGCCATAGTGAGCATAAAAGACTTCTTTCAAAAACATTACACAAATCGTACAGACCCTAAAACTATAGTGTAAATCACATTTAATGTATTCTTTTGATATTATACGTAATATTTGTTTTGTCTTTAATATTATTCACATATTCCAAGATATTTTTGAGAGTTTTTTGGACCATCCTCCTCTTATCCTGCCTAATGAGACACCTCGGCTGGACCTGAATCAGCCAATCCCAAGCCCCGAGCTAATGAAGGAAGTGACATGCCTGCGAACATTCCTGTGGGGGCTCGACCAGGATGAACTTCCTGCTAATCAGCGGACTAGATTGTAACATTAATTCACAACATTAATTCATTCCAGTTGTCAAATTATGAACATTATCTAGTTCTCACATAGAGAAACTACCAGTCTTTAGACACTAGTAGATATTCATATCAGATAATATTCCTTCTTTTGTGTTTTTTTGTTGTTGTTTTTTTTGCCTGTCAAGCACATCTGTCTTCATTATGATTATGTATAATTCATTGCATTAGTTACTTTAAAGGTTTATGTTAGATGAGATTCATTGCCTGGTTGCAATGATAAATGCCAGCCTGTTATTTTACACAGTATTCAAATGTTCTGTAGGTTTTTTCCACTGTTAATCTTAGTAAATATGACACTACAATAAACAATTTAAGCTGTTATGATCAGATACATCAGTTGCATTGATAATTTTTTTTTACCACATTCTGTAATTCATTTAACCTACTGGCATGTTTTTTTATCGATAGATTCTCATACATTTTGTGAGAGGCTGTTGGGAAAAGTGGTGGCCACCTGCTGTTCTATTAATCAACACTGGGTGGCATGATCGCAATGGACTCAACGATTAGTTAGAGCAAGACTCCACTGGTCACCAGTAAAAATTCATATCACTTATCATGACTAACATTAATAATGAGGATCAGTATC